CCCACCCCCACAACCCGGGGGTACCCCCCAGCCAGCCCCTCAAAGCCAGGGTAACCCCCAGCCAGCCCCACAAAGCCAGGGTAACTCCCAGCCAGCCCCACAAAACTGGATTAACCCCCAGCCAGCCCCTCAAAGCCGGGGTAACCCCCAACCAGCCCCACAAAGCTGGGGTAACCCCCAGACACCCCACAAAGCCAGGTTAACCCCCAGCCAGCCCCACAAAGCCGGGGTAACCCCCAGGCAGCTCCACAAAGCCGGGCTAACACCCAGACAGCCCACAAAGCCGTGGTAACCCCCAGGCAGCTCCACATCCTGCATTTTGCTTCAGCCCCCCCAGACACCCCACAAAGCCAGGTTAACCCCCAGCCAGCCCCACAAAGCCGGGGTAACCCCCAGGCAGCTCCACAAAGCCGGGCTAACACCCAGACAGCCCACAAAGCCGGGGTAACCCCCAGGCAGCTCCACAAAGCCGGGCTAACACCCAGACAGCCCACAAAGCCGGGGTAACCCCCAGGCAGCTCCACAAAGCCGGGCTAACACCCAGACAGCCCACAAAGCCGGGGTAACCCCCAGGCAGCTCCACAAAGCCGGGCTAACACCCAGACATCCCACACAGACACCCCACAAAGCCGGGGTAACCCCCAGGCAGCTCCACAAAGCCGGGCTAACACCCAGACAGCCCACAAAGCCGTGGTAACCCCCAGGCAGCTCCACAAAGCTGGGCTAACACCCAGACACCCCACAAAGCCGGGGTAACCCCCAGGCAGCTCCACAAAGCCGGGCTAACACCCAGACAGCCCACAAAGCCGTGGTAACCCCCAGGCAGCTCCACAAAGCTGGGCTAACACCCAGACACCCCACAAAGCTGGGCTAACACCCAGACACCCCACAAAGCCGGGGTAACCCCCAGGCAGCTCCACAAAGCCGGGCTAACACCCAGACACCCCACAAAGCCGGGGTAACCCCCAGGCAGCTCCACAAAGCCGGGCTAACACCCAGACAGCCCACAAAGCCGGGGTAACCCCCAGCCAGCCCCACAAAGCCGGGGTAACACCCAGACACCCCACAAAGCTGGGCTAACACCCAGACAGCCCACAAAGCCGGGGTAACCCCCAGCCAGCCCCACAAAGCCGGGGTAACCCCCAGACACCCCACAAAGCTGGGCTAACACCCAGACACCCCACAAAGCCGGGGTAACCCCCAGCCAGCCCCACAAAGCCGGGGTAACACCCAGA